GAGGGAAATTAATATATCTGGCCTTTCATTTTGCTTGTTCAGTGGAACCAGTGGATTTATTTATGCAGTCTAGTTTAAGATGTGATTCTTCCATATGTGAGATCTCTTTTCCTTTTTGTTTGTTATCTGGATGTATCCAAAGAGGTCAGAATTTTAATTGCAGGTTATTGTGCTTGGCCAACTTCTATGCTGGTGCGCAAAGTCCATCTGATAAAAAAACCTTCAAAGGCTTCAGCAAAAGGGAACTAAAGATACACTTGACTGGGCCAGTGTCAGGACCATCTCTAAGCTAGAGTGAAGGGATGTTTGTATAACTTGCCCCTCTACCCCGCACTCCCGAAGCACTGTGTATAATAATGACTGACAACCTTGTGGTTCACTAATTTAGTAAAGCTCTGCTAAAATTCATGGTAATTTTGGGCACTGGAATCTGGTCCTGAAATGTACATCTTGTTGCATCCAGAGGTAATTTTGTTATCAGCGCCTCCATCTTAATAAGGGAGAAGCAAAAAGTAAAATGACAGGAAGCAAAAGAGAAAATTAAAATGACTCATTTAAGCTTAGGAAGCTTCTGGGCAGGAGCCGAAGGACCAATGGGAGAAAAATTGCTGGAAAAAAAGGAACAGAAAGGGGATGATGAAATCCAGGGATACGGGGAGGGAAAAGAGAGAAGTGAGAAGAGAAGAAACAGGGAAGTGGCAAAATGAAAGGAGAAGCTGCTGTTTTAAGGAAACGGGAAAGGTGGCTATTACTGAAACAAAGCAAAAGACAGGACAGAATGGGATTTTAAATGGAGAGAATAAATGAATGGATTTAGAGGGATTGTGATGGGAAAGAGCACTAAGAAAAGAAAAGTAAGCCGAGGAGAGAAAAGCAAGAAATAAATTAATTTCATCTTCAATGTTAAAGAATAAAAGAAGTTAAAATAGAGCACTTATTTTCCTCCACAAGATATATAATCATCTGCTTGAGTGGTATTAAATGTAGGACAGTAGCAGGGTTTGCCATAGAGTCTCTGTGAGAGTCTATCCTCTAACCTGTGTTTTTTTTAACTCCCTTCCAGTTTTGGACCTTTTAATCTCATAGAGATCCAACCCTTTCAGAGTGAATTTTATCCTCACTACTGTAGGTTTGGGGTTTTTTAATTCACTTTTTGGGGAAAGGTTTGGAAGTAGCCCACAGATGCCCAGGGGGTCCCTAGGCAGCAGCTGGAAAGCCCTTGAATGGGTGGAGATGGCTGATGCTACTTCTGCTGCAGATTGCTCCCATAGTTCAAGAAGCAGCAACCTACACCTTGGAAAAACTAGTCCCAGGTTTCAACTCTGGTGTTAGCCCAGTCAGATGGGAAAATTATCTCAAAATAAGTGTGTGGTTTGGGGAACAGGGGAGTCATAGCACATAGATTCAGATCTGAATGTACCACATAGCAAAATTCATGATGAAGGTTAAGTCCCATCATAAAAATAGAGAATAATGTTTTAGACAGAATCAGAAAACCTGATTCTGGGCTAATTTTACCACACGATAACTCTGAATTCAGGCAACCTCTTTCTCTTACATGTACTGTGCAGGGAAAAATTTGACCTGTCAGGGTTACAGTAATTTCAAAACTTAATACAATTACAACCAGAAAACACACGTAGAGACAGGTTTTACTCAGATTATCACTAGAAATTTCATTTATTTGTGTCTCATTATATTTTCACTAGACCAAATAGGTTTAATGGAACTGCATGACCATAAACCAATATAGGATCTGGATGGGAGATGGGAGTTTTAATCGTGTTACTCTGATTGACATCCTGCAGTGGCATAAATGTTAAGACAGGAGAAAGCTACTACTGTAAGGATGGGGGTCTGTTCCTCTGTATAATGATGTCTATAGCTTTGTTTAGCAAGGAGATAGCCATGTTTTAGTTTTAATCAAATATCTACTGTGTCAAGTGAAGTAGTGTCAAGGGATGTGGAGGCAGGATTTGGCCAGAAAAAGGTAGAGGAAAGAATTGTTCCCTCTACACTGGAGACTCCAGGAGAGCTGCAAGGACCACACCATGAGGTGGTATGCAGCCTAATTTCTCTAAAGAGGGAGAAGAACTCAATACATGTCAGTCTGGGTGATGAGATGCTGTACCTGGCTTAAGGGAAAGCAGAAATTATGCACATGAATGTTACCTCTGTTAAAAGAGTGCTGTTTCAGCGGAGCTGTCCCCTGCAGTTTATGATGAAAGAGAGAAATGAATTGGAAAAGGACCGATAAATGTTCAGAGGGAGGCAAATGAAAGATATTTTATGAGATGGAAAACTAAACTGGCAAGAACATCAGAGCATCTGGTGGCTGTACTAGGTTTTACTTTAACTTCCTGATAGTCTTAATTATTAATTAATTAAATTTTTTTTAACTGGGATGTGATCCTGTGTCTTTACTGAGATCAATTTAGCTTTAGTTTTAAAAGGGAGCAGAATAAAACCTGTATGACACAGTGGAACTGGGTTTATTTTTCTTTGTGGTTTCGTTTTCTTTTTTCACTGAAGAATTTCAAGCCAGGACATGTTTCAGTGGCCTAATCTCAAATGCGCACGGGAACAGTTTCTATGTTTGCTTTGCAGGGAGGAGCTGGCTCACTTCAAGAGAAGTTCAAGAATGAACACAACTGGTTTGCTGTCAGTTTTTAGTACTGGCTGCAGCTCACAGGCAATAATGGCACCAGCAGTGGTGAAGCAGCATTGTCTAGCAAACAAGTAGGTGTCAGTGACCCTCAACAACAGGATAACAACACTTGGATTTCCAAGGTACTTCTACCCACACTGAAGGAGGGAATTGCTTTTTTTCCCTTCTTCATCATTCTGCAACGTTGCTCTGCTTATCTTGAAATACTCCAAATAAATACCCACTTCTGACACAGCTAGCTAAATAAGGACAGACAGTTGCTAAATCTTGTCATAATTACAGCAGGCACCTGTTCATGGCCACTAAAACCGATGTTGCTAACACGTTTCCACAATAACTTCATGCTCAAAATTTTCCAACCAACTATCTTTTGGGAAGAAATTTTCCACATTTGGCCTCTGCTTGAGAGGAAACATTTTTTTCTTCAAGGCTTGAGAAAAATGATGCCAGCTGTTCTTGAGCACAGCATGAATTATAATGTTATGCCTCTGAAGTAAAAAGAACTTCCCAGGCTGCACCAAGCTGAAATATAAAGCTTGCTCTAGACCCTTCTGAAGAGCAAACTTTTTGCTTAGTGTTATACTAGATGTTGATTTACCTAGATTAATAAAGATAAGGCAATAAATATGTTTTGAAATAGCTGAGAATGATTTGTCTATAGGTGAGTGAAAAAGAAAAGGTTGCAGCTCATACGAGCTGTAAATGGAGAGCTGCCAGGTGGGTCAGAGGAGTTCACTCCTGCCCTCACGAAGTGCACTTCATTGTTTGAGGAGAACAGGGCGCGACTGCACCTTCCACAGGAGGGAAGCCAACATCACTACTCCAGACTCCTTCCCCTCTCCACCGGATTATTTTTCTTTCAAAAGCAGGCAATTAAATGTAAAATAGAAGTGTTAAATTTGCAAAGTTGAACATACTGGCACTAGGGCATTTAAAAAGCTAAGTTTACTACTCCTGTCTGTGTGGCCAATATGTACGTGTATATGAATATACATATACATCCAGGCAATCAAATGGACATAGAGAGGAGATACAGAGAGACTTTCAAACTAGTATTAGAACTCTATATCCTTGACAAAATGCTCAAAGTAATCAAAATGTCCCAGAATATACCACTTGAATCATATTACCTATTATGAAAACTGGTACATTGAACATTATAAAATTAATTAACAGGTTGGAGCACTTAATTGGGATATACATTTTATATATGAAGGTATACATTTTATATTGGTTTAGTTAGAATATCCTCAAGCATGGAATACCCTGTTTTTTCCATGCCAAGTACAGAGACGTGAAGACTGTCTTAATAACAAGTTCGTATGTATTATATATGGAATATTATTGTACTGGATAACACTGTGCATCTGTCTTTGCAAGTTTTCTGTTTCTCTTGGATAAATTTTTTTTGACACATTTTCTAGCACTTTGGGGGCTGTTAAAAGGCAATTTCTGTCTTTTAACAAACCAGGGGAAAAAAAGAAGAACTAAACAAAACCCCCTTCACCACAGTCACAACCATATTTCTTTCTCTTCTATAGCAACTCCTTGTTTTTTCATGAAATCATAAGAAAATCGTGTGCTGCTGTGTTTTAAGAAAAGTTTTTTTAAAAAAACAACAAAACAAACAAAACCCCCAAAGCGTATTATTTTTAGCTTTCTGTAATTTCATTAAACGAGTCTTTCCTCCTCACAGTAAAAACCGAAGAGTTCTTCTTCATATGAAATGAACTTCTAGCTGTCATGTCAAGTAGCACGGAGCGCGGGGGGGGGGAGGATTGTAAGAACGGAGGGGGTGTTAAGCAGTTTTTTCCTGTAGAAAACGATCACAGTTTTCAGTCCTTTCGAAAACTACACAATCGCCCCTTCTTTTTTCTTTTCCTTTTCCTTTTTTTTTTTTTTTTTTTTTTTGTCGTTACAAGGACTTTGATTTATTCTAGAGGCAAAACGGCCCCGAGAAAGAAACTCAGGGAGCTGTAATTAAAAAAAGAAAGAAAGAAAGAAAGAAAGAAAGAAAAATAAATAGAAAAAGAAAAAAAAAAAAACGGGGGGTGGGCATGGAGGAGGGAAGGAGAACGGGGTCTGTCCGGGTGCCGATGATCTCCCTGGGAGAGCCGCGATGCCGCCCGGCACGGCTCAGCGCGGCGGTCCCGCTCCGTGCCGTGCCGAGTCGTGCCGGCGGGGAAGCCTTGCATCACCGCCACGGGCTCCACTTCCCTCCTCCCTCTCTTTCGGAGAGGCTATTAATAGCATGACATCAGCCAGGGACTCGCCGCCAGAGTAAATACCAGCGCTGCCCGCTCGGCTATATAAGGGGGGTGATGCAACCGAGGCGAGCGGCAGAGGAGCGGGGAGCGGAGCGAGCGGCTCTCCCGGAGGAGGCGGCGGAGAAGCGGGGACAGCCGCCGGGACGGCAGCGCGGCAGGGCGAGTGCGGAACCTCTTCCCTCCGGCAGGGAAGGCGGCAGCAGCGGGAGGAAGGTAGGTAGAAGCGCGAAGGGAGCCGCCGAGACTCCCCGTGTCGGCGGGACGAGGGGCTGAGCTCCGTGGGAGCTTGTGCCGCCGCGGAGAGATGCCCGCCGGGGGGTCCGCGGGCCGCCACCGGGAAAAGTTTCGCCGCCCCCGGCAAAGTCGGGCGCGGCGGTGCCGCCGTCCGCCGAGATCCCTGGGAAAGCCCTTGGCCCCGCCGAACCTCCCCCGGAGCCTCTCGCCCGCCCGCCGGTGGCGGCTCGCTCCTGGCGCCCACATCTGGGGGAACCCCCTGCCCGGGCTGCCGCCAGATGTGAGCTCCGGGAGGAGCCCGCCGAGCCCCGGCTCATCCCGGGCAGGCAGCGCCGCTCGGCACCGCGCGGTGGCGGCCTCGGCGGAGGGACGGCGCGGGCCCCGGGACCGGGATCGGGACGGGGAGCGCCGGGATGCCGGAGCGCGGCGGGGGCGGCAGCCGTCGGCGGCACCGCGGGAACCGGGACTGGGGAGCTGCCCCGGGACGGCCAAGGCGATGAGAAACCCCGCGCTGCCGCGCATAAGTTTATCTATGATATTCACATAAACCGAGGGGGAATTCCCTCTGCGAGCCGGCTACATTCACTTTCCTTTCTGTCCCGGTTTTGACATGAAGTAGATCAGTTGCTAAACTGTTGCCTAACCAAATCAGGCGTGACACAACAGCAAACTTGTTTCAGAGAAGGAGTTTCCCCTTGGAAATCAATTTTTCTCCTAATAACAGCATTTGAGAATCTGGAAGGCAGCAGAAAATGGTTCGGGAGTGATGTGGGATGTCAGAAAGCTTAAGGTCAACTAGCGTGCACAGAGGTTGTGAACTGTAATTGCTCTTAATGCTGTTTAAGATTAACCTCAGTGGTTATCAGGGTTTATTGCATCAGCACCAGAGGAAAAGGAATTCATATGAAGAAATAAAACCAAGAGGCACAGCCAACCATCTGCAGTTAAGCAAAAAAAGAAAAGACTGAAAGTAGTCACTTTTATTATTATTATTAAACAAGAATACCCTTAAATAGTAGAAATGCACAGCTAGGAAGTATGTCTCAATTTAAAAATATTGGCAGATGAGATGCAAAAGCTCACTGTAGATGGAAAGAATCATCAGCAGAAGAACAAACAAGTAGCAAAGGGAGAATGAATGAATAAAGTTGCTTGAATCTACCTGAATTGGGAGGGTACCATGCATAGCAAAACTGTTCTCTTTGGAGAATTCCAAAACTGAGGATAAAGTAATGAAGCATTAACTCACCCTGGGAACAAGTTGTACTCTTACAGTGCAGGTCTGCACTGCACAGTAATGTTCAGCACCTTCAATGTCAGTAACTTCAGGAGTACTGAAAGCAGCCTGGAGCACAGGTCCATGTGCATGGTCTAACAAAGTGAACAGAGATTGTATCAGAAAGGCCATGATATAATCACACTTTAAGGCTTGATATTCTTATTCCTACTAGTTCCCCAGCCCTTACAAACACAGAGAAAATGAGATAGTGCTCTTGATGGCTTATAGACAGAGGTACATTTGTACTAAAATTGAGAAAAGGAAGGACAACTTGTTGCATTCTTTACAATAGTCAAATCTAATTTTTCTTCTTCTGGAAAACATCTACCTTGTTGTTATGAAAAGGGAATCTATTCAGTTTACTGCAGAGTTTTGACAGAAGGCTGACTACTTCTGTTATTTGTATCGTGATGGCTCCTAACAATCCCAGTGGTAGACTGGAAACCTATCTACCAAGTCCTGCCCTAAGGAAGAGCCCCAGGAAAACAAACCAGTAACAAACAGCTCTGCAAAATGGGACTCAGCTCACAGCAGAAATCCTTTCAGAAGCCTCAGCCCCCTGGTAGGCCTTCCCTAAAGTCTGAGCAATTAGAGGTGCCTTTCAGGATGTTTGGGAGGTCAGTGAGCTGTTCGGGCAGCAGAGAAGCAAGTTTCTACAGTCAAGGACATTTTCTCCTGCTTTGGGCACTCTACCACCCCTCTTTTTCACACTAGTAACTGATGGATGAGAGGGCCTGAAGCCATTATAGCAGGGTTTTGTTGGTGCTCATGGTACACTTAGCACTAACTAGCAGAAATCCACAATTAACACAATTTCTCAGGCACAAAAATTCTTGGTTTCCTCTGGTGCTGCTGCTGACCTTAATTAAAAGTTCACCTAAACTGTAAAATAATTGAATAAACCACCAGAGCTCAAAAATTATTCACTCAACTAATTATTTTGTAGGCTGGAGAAACAGTTTTACTGTTAATTTAAGACTCCTGGTTGGATTAAATTATACATAATTAACTTCATTGAATGAAGCCATCATCAGCATTCAAGGAGACAGATTCAGTGAAAATAGCTGAAATTTCTCCTAGCAGTGAGGGGTTCAGTGTCATCCAGAATTAGCCTGTTTAAATTAGCTGAATGGTTGAATGTTGGTAAATGGTAAATAATACTGGGAGGACTTCAGCTGGAAATTATAGGGCCATTTCTGACTTGTTGGAAAAGCGCAACTGCTAACCTTCTGAGATTATAGGATTAAATCGTATCACTACTTTAAATATGACTCATGAGCAGGGGCTTTCTGAAGAGAATTACATAAATTTCCCAAGGTCTTTCTGAATAACAAATTTTTCCAAATAATTTCCCCATCTTTAATAACTGTAGGTGAAATCCTGGCTCCATTGAGGTCAACAGAAAAAGTCCTCTTGGTTGCAGTGGAGTCAGGATTTCATCCCCAGACTCTGGGAAATGTTCAACTCTTCTGTGGTGACTGGGTGAGGAAGAAATGAGGATGATTGCAGCTGGACATGGCATTTTCTACCAACTGGCAATTCACTGTCCTCAGATTTTTATATTTACCTCACTTAGGGATGAACCAGATTCTATTCTCATTTGCACCAGTGTGGATTTACAGTGTATTTTTAGATATCTCTGGGCAAAATCTATCTTCTTCACGTGACCCCAAACATTTCTTGCTGTGTTGCTGAAGTAACGTACAGGGAACTATGCAATTCTGGGTTGACCATGTGGAAATTTAGCTTACCCACAGTGCTACCCCAAGGCAACTCTTTGCTTACCTGAACTAAGTTAATTATAATTGACTTTGCTATAATTATTATAGTTCTAGACTAGAGTAGATAACACATACTGTAATTATCCATACAGCTATTAAAAACAAAAAAACCAAACCCCAACCAAAACCTACACACCAAAGAAAGCTGGAAAACCAATGGAGTAAAATCCAATTTAACACAAGTCGCCTTATGAACAAGAAAAGTATCAAAATCTGTTTTCCTATGGATTTGCAGCTTTTATCCATTGAACCACCCATGAAAGGTGTTCAGTTTTCTTCCAGATCTCTTATCTCACCTCTGCTGGGTGAGAGATGGATTGTGACATGCAGAGATGTGTGCATCAGCTAGCCCACCGTGTTTGAATGACTGACTGCTGAGTTTTGTCTCTTTCCCCCTCAGTGGGGTCACCAATTTTCACAAAGCACATAGGGGACCTCTCTCCCTCGAAAACTGACAAAAAAATAAGAATGACTAAAAAGAGAAAAGTAGAGAGCACTGTTGGGTAAGTTTGTTTCTTAGGAAACCTACTAGAGCTGAGATTTCTCCATGGGTTTACATTTGCATAATTCCCCTGAAGTCTCTTCAATCACACTGGTTTACATCAGCAAAAGATTCGGCCATAAATATTTAAGAATTTCAAGCCTCCCATAGAGGGCACATGAGGACAGTTTCGAATTTTACAAGAGCAAAGGAATGAAACAAACGGCTTCACATTTTTCATGAGTCAATCCCTCCGACTCAGTCTGTGCTTTGGAGCTCCAGAGCATGTATAGACTCTTACTTCTGTGCCAGCTCTTATCATTAACCATTTTTCAGGAGTTTAGAACCAGATCTACAACTGTATGTAAGACTAAGTGTGATCATTTTGTGATAGATCCTGTCGTGGTTAGCAAACTTCAGCTCCTAGTAGACCTCATTGAGCTTTACCTAAATGTAGCCAAGATAAAGGTATGCTCTGTCCATTTGAAGCTGGAATTTGTGATGGTATAACTCTGAGGATGAAGATACTCTTACTTTCTGTCTGTGCTTTAAATAATAATACTACTTTTTTGTTTTCTGATTTTTGTTCTTATTTTCTTTCTCTTCCTATTCACTCGATTATCCTTTGCCACACATTACCAATTTAAAACTTAACAGTATACATACTTACACAGTTTTTTTGAATATTAAGTTTCAGAAAGACCTAGAAATTGTGTCATGTGCTGGTGTTGTTCTTACTTTTAAATACTAACTTTGAGTTGAAGTTTTCACCAGTGACCAAATACTTAACTGCTTGTCTTTAGTGAGAGATTGAAGTACATGGGGAAGGGGGACTGAAGCAATGTAAGAACTAAAGCATTATTCACAGTATGAAATTTACCTCTAAGAGATATTATTTGCCTTTCTAAAGTTGTTGAAAGACTATTATTATTATCTCTTTTTATCTTTCAGCAAAATGATGGTGCAACACTCAGGCCAGGTATCTGCATTAGAAGTCAGCGCCTCCGCAATTGTTCCCACTTTGTCCCCTGCAGGGTCACTGGGGTTTGATGATTTCACAAATTTAACCCCACTGGTGAAAGAAGAACTGAGGTTTGCCATTCAGAATAAGCGTCAGTTCCACAGGATGTCTTCTACATTGGACACGGTGACGGTTTCTGAAAGGCCGGTTGAAACAGCAATGATGAAAACAGAGGTATGGCTCTTTAAATAGAATTCCAGTGTGAATGATTAATTCTCTAGTGAAGTTTTACCACAAGACCAGTAATTATATCAACTATAGACAACCCTCTCTGCCATATTGATTCTTTCAAGCATGCTGCTTGGCTTTCTGTTAAATGCTTTGGGGAAAACCTTTGGTATTTTGCATAGCTGGATATTTTTTTTTATTATCATCTAAGGACAATGTTTTACAATGATTAGAACAAGTGCTAATCTGGTTCCCCTGCCTACTTGTGGCTGAACTTGGAATAAGTCACTGCTGAAGTTCTATTTCACTAAAGACAGTCCAGCAGGACCCACAGGGACTAGACTAAGTGGGACTAGCTGTGCTATGTCCACATTGGGTTTTTACTTAAAGATAATACTCTCAGTGAAAAACATTTCTCTTTAAATGTGGATAAATAGCTTAAGTTACAGAAACAGCTACACCTTGGTCTGAGCCTCCCCAGGAAACAAAACAAAGCTTGAAGAAGTGTGTTAATATCTCCTTCTCGGTGTTGCCTTTAGTTTCACTCACTCTCACTGCCTCATTCACGACACATCCTCCACTCTGCTCCCCATGCTCCTTGCTCCTTTTCCTCTCCTGGAGTTGTGGGAGTCAGTCTGGGGAGACATTCAATGAGTTTTTTGAGTACTGTTGGTTTAAAATGAGCCATCACATGGATTACATACATCCAAACTCCAGTCAGGTTTTAACTGACAATTCTAATGAGGTTACTACCCTTATGCTGTATGGCAAACAAGGTCACAATCACAGTTATGTAACTCTTAATGTAAACACCAACAACACTATCCATGTTGATTTTAAAATTGCAGAAGCTGTAGAAATAGAGGTTTCATATTTCCGACATCTGATGGATTGTGCGTATCCATTTTTGTTGGACAGTTTTCTCCTGAAGAGGATGAAAGAAAGAAGAGAAGAAGGGAAAGGAACAAAATTGCTGCGGCAAAGTGCCGAAACAAAAAGAAGGAAAAAACAGAATGTTTGCAAAAAGTAAGTGACTGGCTAGAATTTTTCTTAGTTTCTCATCCTGCCAGGATCCAAACAGGTAGCATGGAGTTCTGTCACAGTAAGAAATACAGAAAGATGTCACTCAAAACTCTTTAAACCCTTCAAAACATTGGTTATAAAAAATGAACATGCTATATATTAAAACAAAACCTGATTAAAACAGGAAAAAAAAGTGAAAGTATGGTAGGAGTGAAAAGAGTTTACTGTTTCAGTGACTGATCTTGTCTATGGGAATAATATTAATTTGAATGTGTACACTCAGCACAAAAAGAAGTAAAATCTCATTTCATAAAATATTTGCTATGGAGAGTCTGCAAACATCACCAAGTAATTTTGGACTTACTTATGAAATGAGTGATATGGTAGCTGACTCCTGAGTTCTCTGTCCTAGGACCCCAGTTTTGTCTTCACCTCCTGTGCAGCGATATACAACTTTATTACAGCAACGTCGATCTGTACCTGGGTATAGAGGCCTCTGTATTCCAATATCTAGGGCTAGGGAAAAAAGCTATATTCTTACTTGCTTAGCTTACCATGGGTTTACAGATATGTGACATGATGTTCAAGAGAGTTAAGAAGCAGCGTAGGTAATTTTGGGTCAATTTTTGACCCAAAAAGCTCAGAATAATTTTGCAGAAGATAGCGATAATGCTTTGGGTATCTGTCTCTGTAAGTGAACAGAAGCCTGAATTTGGCTTTCCAACTTCCATTACACTTTTCTGAAGGCCAAAGAAGGTAATGTCAATTTTAGACTGTTACTGACCGGAGAATGTATAGTTTCATCATTACAGCACACTAAGAACATGAGATTTCTTTCTCTGCTAGCCATATGTTTTCCCACCAGTAAAAGATCGCAACTATTAGCTAAATATTGCAGCTAACTATTCGAACTACTCAGTGTAATAGTTGTGTCTGTCCTTTGTGACTAGGAATCAGAAAAGCTGGAAACTATCAATGCGGAATTAAAAGCCCAGATCGAAGAGCTGAAGAATGAGAAGCAGCATTTGATATACATGCTAAATCTTCACAGGCCTACTTGTATAGTTCGTGCACAAAATGGAAGGACACCTGAAGATGAAAGAAATCTTTTTATTCAACAGATCAAAGAAGGCACATTACAAGGTTAAGTGATATGGCAAACATGGAAATATTTATAGTGTTTTTAACAACTACCAGAATCCATGGAGGATCTGACATAATGTGTAGGATTCTATTAGTCAAGAGCCTTTAGGAAGGACAGGTTGCTTTCTTAAGTGGAAAGAATCATTTTGGCTTGACAGCGATTCTTCCACTTGGAAGATCTGGTCTCAATCAAATTGAAGAGCATTCTGCCTCAAATATAGGTTTTTGCACCTGTCATACTTGCTATTCCTAGGAGCTACAGACAACAGCTTCAGAAGTTTTAGCTCTCTGCTAGTATACAGTATCTGCACTCACGACGTTTGTGCTAGAACACTATGACTTCCAGTGATGCACATGGTACAGACAGCTGTGCTGGATGGACACTACTTTTCCTTGTTGCTGATAGGGAAAGAAGGCTGAATATTTTTGAAGTTTCCAGGAGGATGGTTTCTGGCAGAATGTACTGATGCATAATGTTGCATTTTAACCTAACACACACACACACACACACACACACACACACGAAAAAAAACCAAACCCCTTTAGTTCCAACTAAGCTTTGTCAATTTTTTCACAACACTTGTGTGGGTTTTTTCTATGACTCATCTCAGTGACTGAAATTGAAGAGCCTTGTAGGTGTGACAAAGAAATGTTTCTTGCAAAACATCTACGTGGCCTAGCTTGTATTTTATGAGTTATCACCTCACCTACTATCCTTTGGGGGCTACAATTTTTCTTTGATGGCTAAAGAGCAGCTTGTACCATCATTTAGTGACTTGGTGACTTGAACTCACTGGAAAGAGGAAACTAACTATTGAGGACTATTGATAGAGGTTTTGCTGAAGTAAAGAACTGCAGGACTGAATCCCGGGCTCGTGAACCTTGAAAAGGTTTTTTTTTTTAAATTTATCTGTAATCTAATCGTACAAGCTTTAATTGATACTATTAATCCTCATTCACAAAAGAGGTTCCATGGATTTCAGAGCTCATGCATATAGCTCTTACAGGCATAAGAGCTTGACAAAAGTTTTTCCATCCTGGCCAAGATTACTTCCTTTTGCCAGGTGATTCAGAGGGAAAAATTATGATTGCAGCTTTTATTTTACATTTGAGTGGCAACTACAGTCAATCAAAAATGTTACTTAGAATCTAAAGGAGGCAAGAGTTTTGATGTAGTGAATAATTGTTTTTATTTTTTATTAAATACTAACCTTGGATGTTTTTGAACTGGTAGAAGAGCTGCTGGACAAAACAGTTGGAGTTATGAGTGTTTAAATTCTGATGTTTCTGTGAAATTCTCAGATTGTTTATTTCTATAAAATATATCCTTACAACTTTTTGTAAAAGAAAATATTATCCTTATTTATCACTAATATCATAATGAGTAGAGTTAATAAATACTGCGAGCAAGAGAAAACTGAAAACACAAGTGTTGTGCTGTCTTTTTACCTTTGGTGTTTAATATTATATATTCCTAAACTTCATCAGTTGTATTTGAGACACTGCTACTTAGAACACTTATCCTTCATCTTTTTTGAAGATGAGGCACTGAGTATCTTGAATGATTGGGTGCAGATGTTATACCTTCCAAAATTCTGTATCACCATCAGTGATGTCTAACCATTTGATGTCACAATTAAACAAAGCAGAATACAAATGGAGCTTACTGTACATAATATTTTACACCAGTTATGCAGTGTTGAAATTGTGCGTTTGTTCTAAAGGCTAAACTTAAAAGATACCTCAGCCATAAGCTTCTTACCCTGCAAATTTCTCATGAGTCTATCACATATTGTACCTGATCCTTATATGATCATTATATTCTGCAACAGAACTTCTTAGTACCTTTTCCTAAGATCTGGATATATTGTAATGTCCTATATCACATTTTAAAGATATGTACTTCGTGTATCTGAAAAGTGAATGTATTACAAAGATGACATACTAGGTCCAATTCTGTCCTAAGAATCCATTATCTTCCTGTATGTTGGAAGGAGGTTCCATTGACTTCCATTGACAAGTGAGTGTTTTATTCACGTCCTGTAGGCAGAGTTTGGAAACTGTGTCACAGCTTCTCTGGCTTGGTGAGTTCTATGTGTAATTGGGCCAGCTGTTTATCAGACAACAGGTATACATGAAGTGTGTTACAATAAACTTGTCAAACAATGTCCATTGTTATTTGACTTCTGTAATGTGGAAATACAAAACCAAGGCATCGTCCCGGTATCATACACCTTGGCTTTGTCTTTTGTGCATCAAATACCAGCAGACGAAACTGTCTCATAGTCAGTTATGAAGTGTTACCACAGAGACTAGAAAATAGTGACAGGATTCACGTGTCTCCCTTAAGGAATTTGTATGGTTGCTTTTAACCATATCACTGGTGACGCAGGCGTCACGCTTTTGTTGCTTGATTTTATTTACTCGGCATGCCAAATGTTAATATGGTACCACTACTATTGTCAGAAGATAATCTATTTTTATTTCTTTATATGTGCAGTCATAGCTGCTTTGTATTGCTTTTGTATGTGTGTGTGTGTGTGTGTGTGTGTGTATGTGAGAGAGCACGTGCTCCTGCACGCTACTCTGGCAATGATGGTACTCAAGGCCACTTTATTGTGCCCAGGAAAAGAGTGTTTAAAGAGCCAGACAGGAATGGTATGTTGCATGAGTTTTCTTAAGAGTGTACTTTATTCAGGAGAACCCTTAAAATGCATTAAAAGCAGTTTGTTTTCTACTCTCAAGTTTGTTTTGATACTTTAATAAAAAAGAATTAATATATATTTATTCACGTGTCATTTAATTCATTCTAAGTTTCAAGGTCCAGGAGCAACTTCATTTTCTTAAAACAACACCGAGATATTAAAAAGCAAGCACATTTTATATGTTTGCAACAATAAGTGTTTTGTAAAGTGAAACTAGTACTGTTTGCTGCTTTTCAAGGTATAAACAAAATTTTGTTATTACAAGGCTGATCATGAATTCCAGGCTAATTCCTTATTTGTGGCCTAAGGCTTAGATTAAAGGACTGGAAATTAGAACTCCTAAACCTTTCCTAACCTTGCAACCAACCAGCTGATAGTTATTTCAACTTTATGATTACCTAATAGTTTAATGCTTTTGCTGCTTTGAAGCTTTAATATTTATAGATTGCTTTCTCTGGTTACATGGAAGATACTAAAGTAGTATGGCATGATTAGGGCTTTGTTGTTTTTCCTCTGTGTTGGTGTGTGTGGGGAGAAACATGAGGAAAAATGAACAAAATGTTCTCTCCTGCTTTTCCAAAACTAAGTATCTACACACCCAGACAGAAGTCCCTGTGTTTTGACAGCCGGTGATGTGGACAAAAACTTTTGGCTTCAGTCTGTTGCAAGCAGTTATAACTTGTAATACAGAGGCCAGGAGCTCCAGGGACCAGGAAATCCATTGCACTATTGCAAAATCCAGTTAAAAATATCATCTGGAAGGAAGATCTAGGCTACCATGAGTTTGGCAATGTTCAGTGCTTACTTTCCTTGTTGGTACATCCGTTTACAGATGTGCAGTCCTCATACATATATTCACCTTTTCATTCATTCTCCTAAAGCTGCTATCAAATTTTGCTTTTGAATACTCAGTTCAATTCTAAATTAGTAAATTTAAAAATCATCTACCTGGCCTGTTTTAGAAAATCTCATCAACAAAATTAGGGCTATGAATTCCTGAACTGATATTTTATAATATTTTCCTTGAATAGTACGAGTTGAAACCATGGAATCACCATTGATCTCTATGACATATTCCTAATAACATAATTGGTATTCCTCGAGCAAAGTAATACATCATGCCTTCTCCTTGAGTCTTGTTCTAGATGCTAAATATGTGTGTACAGGCCCGTGAGGACCTTAGGGCATGCTGGACTTTACCCTGTCCCTTGATAAGGAGCACCTTCTACTCTTTTTCCAGCTCTTCCCCCGAGGTAAATGAATAAATAGCAATATTGAAGATTGGTAGAGACAATGATTTATACTAAGCTGAAAATGTTTAATGAAACTGAATGGCAACAAACTTAATTTACAATAACTTTTCTACCTGGAACCATTAGAATTTGAAGGTCTAGTAATTTTTTATTGATTAAAGGGATAGTTTTAAAAATCACTGATTCCTAGTTTTGCAAAAGAAACTGGATGATCTATGGCTAACGAAAAGAGTACAACTGTTTGCTGGTAGCAATGGAGTTTTGAAAACAAAATCTAATTCATGTTAAAAAATTCTCAAATCCAGAATGATGACTGTATCTCATATCCATTTTTCTTGGTGGTTTTGGTTTCCCCGCCTCCTCCCCCTCAGCAGAGTACTGGTCTAGGTACAAGTCTCATTCACCCTGGCCATTGCCAAATTTCAGTGTTTGCCCAGTGCCCCCAGCTGGAGACCCTGAGAATCACCCCGGGATTAAAATGTGCAATAATATTAATTTATCTAATTACTTAGTGACATTCTTCATCAGTTTGTAATGACACCAATATAGTATTTTCATTTCTATAATAGATGCCATTCTTTTTTAAGTGTAGTTAAATACTGAGTGACAATATTTTTAAAAAATCCTGTTATTTAAAATTCATTTCCTTAATGGACACTCTGAGTCAGAACTGCTGACTCTAGGGATAAAAATAGTTATTTGCTAATTTTCAGTGCTATTAGGTCTTCAAAACCATCACAGTTTAAAAGAGAATACACTGGAATCTATTCTTGAGACAGCAGTAGTTCTGGCTACATATCTTTACTACTGCTAACAGTGATGCATGAAACAAACAAAAAACCCCCAATCTAATGATTTTTATACCCCAGACTAAGTGTGCAAGAGCTGACACTCAGAAAAAAATTACTAGACCTGTGAAATGAATAAACGGAAAATGTAAATAATCTGAGAGTTGAAGCTGGAATAACTTTCTTCTCCTTCTCTTTTGAGAATTTAGTATCATTGTATTTCTGGACTCTGTCAAAATAATTTGTGCACCACCATGCCCACTTAGTAGGAATGCCCACACAGCAAATAGCAGTGTGGAATAGCAGTATTTTTATATAAGCTAGCTTAGTAGTGGGAACATCCCAGCGATGACAGCAAGAATCTCAGCACAGGCTAATTGATGCCACTGAGAGGACGAACTCTCCGTGCAGCCAGAGGACAGGCTGCTACTGGCATCTGAGGTAGCTCCTTTAAAGCCAACTTGGGTATCGTTCAGTTCCTCAGGTTAGGACATGTCACGTAGCTGCCTGCATTCCCTAGTAAACAGCCCCACCAGTTCACACCAAAGGTCCACCCAGCCCAGTTTTCTTTCTACACCAGTGATCAAAAGCAGCTGTCCAAGGAAGAATAAGAACAGGGCAAGTACGCTTCCCTGGGTGCTTTCCCACACTCCAACTATTTTCAGCTAGTGAGTCACACAAGCTTGCCATGAATCTTTTAGGTAGTACCCTTCCATAAATCTCTCTGTCAAGTATTTGACCAGTTTCTCATCCACAGTACCAGCATCTGCAGTAACTTTTGGTGGCAAGTTCCTTAGGACTGTCGCCACTCAGAAGAAAACCATTCCTTTTTTTTTTTACCCTATTCCCTACTACTCGATTTGACAGACCCTCATTCCTGAATTGGAAGAGTGAACACTTACCCAAGCTCTCTGTGCCACATGATTTTATATTTTGCTGGATTGTTTCTTTTTCAGGAGAAAGAGCCCCATTATATCCAGTCACTTTTTTTTTTTTTGGTAGCCATTTTACATCCTTAATTATTCCTGTGAACTTTTTCTGTGAAAATTGTGGCTTATTAAGTAGTTTAAGATAAAGTGACCATAAATAGACACAGTATTCAAGGTGAGTTATAGCCACGTATTAATGCAGTGGTATGTATCTTAATGTTCCCTGTCCCTTTCCCAATAACTCCAGAAATAAGGTTTGCTCTTTGGTGACTGCCAAGCATGAAGCCTGACAGAATGTCACTATCTACCATAATCCCAAAATCTCCTTCCTGAGTAGCAATGGTAAACTCAAGCCCAACATTTTATATATGATGCCAGAATTGATATGCAATACCTTGTGTTTACTTGCATTGAATTTTATCTGCCATTTTAGTTTCCAAACTGTAAATATAAACTCTTCCTGCCAGTCTTCTGAAACTGCCTTTCTCCGTAATTTTGTACCATCATCAACATTCTTGCTGCACTACTCGCCTTCTTACCAGATCATTTATGAAGATGTTGAGCTGTGCAGGTCCCAGTAAATGTTCCCATGGAATTCCAGTGGATGACCTACACCTGCTGGAAGAGTTCATCACTTACTCCTACTCTCTTTTCTACCCCAGTCTTTATGCATGTATATGCCTTTTCCCTATTCATGGCTATTCAGTTTCTTTAAAAAAATTTTGTTGAGGGAATTTACTGAAA